ATCAGTCTACAGTCAGCATCGTTGTGCGGGCTGTGTCCCTCGCTATTGTGCAGTGTCTGGGGATCCGGCGCGGCTGGATCGACTTTCCCCAGACAACCGGCGAGAGGGACGACGTCGAGAGGGGCTTCCAACGGCTCGGCAGGATACCCGGCGTCATCGGTTGCGTCGACGGGACGATGATTGCCATCGTCGCCCCGTCAGAGAACGACCCCACCGTCACGAAGGCGGCGTATTGGTGCCGCAAGCAATACTACGCTCTCAACGTGATGGTGGTAAGTACGATCACATATATACTACGTCTCACCTTAGCATGAACTAACTGAGAAGACTGTGCGAGCGCGAACGGCCTGACTGGAGCACTCGCTGCACGAGCGCTCGTGCAGCCGCCGGGGCTTTATCCAAAGCAGCTAGCTCGCGCTTTTAGCTATAGGTCAACGCCCGTTCTGAATGGGTTTGAAAAAGAGCGTAACGCTAATGCGGTGTGGATATGCCATTTTATAAATTAAAGTTATGGGTTGTTAGTGCTCGTTCATCCTCCGCACAAGCTTTTGTTCGACGGACGGAGGGAGGGTTGTTTTCATGTCGTGTTAAGCTTTTAAGCAATAGTTCGTGTCCTGCATGATAAAGTGTAAACTCTCCTTTGAAGAAAAAAGCAAATTTGCCAAAACTATTGCGTGGATCAAAGGTAGTGGCTATTTATCATATAATTTTAATCTTTATAACACAGCCAGCGCTCTGTCTGTGTCCTTCTTCATGCAGTCCGTCGTTGTTTTTGTTGTTTTTTTTTTGTTGTTTTTTTGCGCTCAGCGCTCTGTCTATATCCTCCTTCATCCAGTCCGTCGTTTTTTGCGTTGTTTTAATGTTTTAAGTTTGTAAACCACGTAATTTATGGTGGTGTGTTGGTCAGCATGTAAATCGTGTTTGACAGGGCCCCATGACCATGAGTGCAATGAACTGTTTGTGGATTCAGTTGAAATAATGTCGACACATGTGTGTGACGCCGACTGCCGGGTCATGAGCATCGACCCACAGTACCCTGGGTCGGTGCACGACTCCTTCGTGTGGCGCTACTCGTGGCTCCGGAGCAACTTCGAGCAAGGCCGGCTGGTAGACGATGGCAGGTTTCTGCTCGGTAAGCATACTCCAGTTGTTGGTACTGTACATGATGGCTCTGCACCACTTATAAGCTACAATATCACACATACTGTTGCGAACATAGATAACTGGCATGCGCTCTGGCCATACCTGTGACACGTCTCCTTGGAAACACTCTGACGCAGCTGTCAAGTACTGGGGGAAAGGTTGCAAACATGCGCCTTTCTTTGCTTAGTTGTCAACAATTTTAAAGGGATACTACAACAAAATTTCGGTGCTTATTCTTTGGTCTATACGTGTTCAGAAGAGCATTATCACATCGGACACGCCAATATCTTGTTAATAAAGAGACAAAAAGGCATTAAAAAAAAATAGGCGATTAGGAAAGAGCACCTTCTAGATGTCTAGGAACCTTGACAGGTAGTGACCGATAACTGTCTCGCTTAGAACCATACATGCTTTGAACCTGACGTCATCTTGACAGCTCAACGGCCAGCAGAACAGACAAGGGGAGGGAGCAACTCCACACTCAACGGGACTCTCTTTTGTGTGTACCAAGATTATAGAATATTAATTTGCCACTCAAAATGACACAAAAGCAGCTTTGGGGTTTGTTGCGGTGGCCTGATCGCTGGCATGCTTCGACCGCTTTTGTTGCTTGAACAGCTAGGGCATCCTGACGATGTCTGCCTCGCCGCAGCTTTGCTCATCCTAAGAGAAACTACATCACAGTTGCACCGGATGTGACGTGCTCTCTGGTGGCTGCTCTCCGAGCGCTTGCCAGTCTGGCCTGTTTATAATGAAAAATATAGCCATAAGGCTCAAAAGGGAAATGTATGATTGTCATTTACGGGTATTGTGGATCATGTTCAGCCTATTTCTGAACATGACGGGTACATTTCAAATTTCGTTGAAGTATTCTATTAAAGAGAACAGCATTAATATCATACATTTCCTTCTCTGAATGTGCAGGTGACAGCGGCTATGCCTTGGAGCCTTGGCTCATCACCCCTGTCCCTGGATTCCACGCGACCTCCACCGCATGCGGCCGGTTTAATAAGGCACATTCTTCGATGAGGTCCGTTGTGGAGCGCTGCATTGGGCTGTTGAAGAGCAGATTCCGGTGTCTGCAAAGGCACCGGGCTCTGTTTTATCATCCCACAACAGCCACCGTCATTATATCGGCGTGTGCAGTGCTCCACAATATCTGCCTTTCATCGAATGAGCCAGAACCGGAGCCAGACTCTGACCCTGACGAGCCAGGGTTGGAGTCTGGGCCGAGCTCGGACGGTTCTGAGTCGAGCTCGGAGGGGTCAGCGGCGGATGACGAGAGGCCGGCTCCTGCCCACCCTCGGGTCAGCCTCTCGGACAGGGGGAGGGCTCTGAGGCAGTGCCTTGTTGCCCAGTTCCAAACCTGCCACAGCCGTGCCGCTCCGGAGCCCCACGCAAGCCACGGTGGCAGTCCCGCCCACCAGGGACACCACCAGCGCCAAGGAGTCCGTCGCCACAACGGAAGTCCCGCCCATCAGGGACACCGTCGGCGGCAGGGAGCCCCTCATCGTCCTCGCCACGGTGGCACTCCCGCACACCAGGGACGCCACCGGCGACAGCGAACCCTTCGTCGTCCTCGCCTCAACTGACGCCCTCGCCACCAGAGAAGCCCTCCCCGTGGCAGTATGTACTGCACTTGTTGTTCCACAGTCATGGCCGTCCATAAGCTCCACAGTGTCAACTCCGCCTTGCAGTTCGTCGCACAACCACCATGCTACCTTTACGGACATTTAGTACTGCCTCCGAAAAGCTATTCGGTGCATCAGTTATGTTGATAGAGCCTTTTTTTCATTTGTAAGCAGGGTGCACAAATTTTTTGGACAATAGCAGAACATTTTGTATGGTTATGAAGCTAGCCTTTGCAAGAGACTGAGAACTCAATGAGGCTACTGGTGAGACCTATTTTTTTTTTTTACTACAATATATTGTTTGTATCGGGTTTGGACATCGACTCATTTTCTCTACACTTCTATTGCCCTGCTCCATTTTACAATCTATTATGGCTACCACAGAGCCAGGTGTATTACTCGATAATCGCAGATTAGATTCGTGCCAACTTGAATGTATAAAGAAGACAACAAGTAGTTTGTTTTTGAAAGTGCTTTCTTTTTTATAACAATGCCGTAACGTGAAAAATAAACATGTTTGAAAACACAGGTTGCAATGCTTTCTTTAAAATGAAATTGAGCATGGACTAGTAAACACCGTATACATTCTTTGTCATTATCAAGGATATATCACAGACATTATTTCACACTTCACTTAATTCAGCACAGTGCCATTTCGTTTGTGTTTTGTCACACCTTTGAAAACACAGGTTGCAACGCTTTTTTTAAAGTGAAATTGAGCATGGACTAGAAACACCATATAAATTCTTTCTCATTATCAAGGATATATCACAGACATTATTTTACACTTGACTTAATTCACCACACTATCATTTCGTTTGTGTTTTGTCACACATGGAAGCATGACAGATTCCATAGCTGAGGCATGTTGAGATCAACAATGATATAAGAAAACAAACAAACAAAAAACAGGGACACAGACGAAGGGAAACAGGACAAGGCGCACTCTCATCCCTGTTTTTTTCAGCGCTTTTTTTGTTTGCCATGAACCAACTGGCCCAAATCTCCACTTTATTGCGATATAAGAAAAATCGCAAACCCAGAGGCTAGTTTCAGGCGGAAGAAAACTACAAGTATAAAATTCCTATGGCACAAGCCACTTGGCACCTTTGATGAAAAAGCACACACTACATATTGCTGTCCTACAAACATGAGGAATGGCTAGTTTTAGCATATATCTGTCATGCCTGTTGCCAAGAGCATATTACTAACTTGCTTCACTGGTTATAGTGACTCCAATAAACAAGTACAGAAGGCACAGTTCTTTGTAAACAAAATATGAACTGAAAAGCATGGACGGACTTTCCCGTAATGTCAACATTGTTGTAAAGATGTTTAGACAGCAGAACATCAGCCTTCCTTTAAGCAGTGGCTCACTCATAGTATTATTCACTGTATGGCGAGCCCAGTGTGCGTAGGAACTTGTCCATTAACACGCACCACATACCAGTGGCACAAAAGAACATATTTCTTGTCTCCGCCTGGAGAACAAAACAAAAAAAGAAAAAATTAATACCAACTTGGAACATAAAATAATCATCCATAAAACTAAATTATATCTGGCTGGACTCAGCGGTCCTGGGCTCGGCTGGGCTCGGTGGGGCTGGGCTCGGCGGGGCTGGGATCGGCGGGGCGGGGCTGGACTTGGCTGGGCTGGAGGGGTGGCTGGGCAGGGCTCGGCAGGTCTTGGCTTCGCAGGGCTCGACTTCTCTCGGCAGTCAGCAGCAGAACGACCTCGACGAGCACGCGGGTCGTGTTTTGGAGTTCCAGGGCCACCGCTTGTGTAGCGCGAGCTTGCTCCTGGTTCGACTCCGCAACAGCCTCCATGCGGTGGCTGAGGGTATCGATTGAACGCAGGAGCTGGAAAGACGGGGCATTTATTGCGCAGCAACAACATATTTCTAGACACCCAGAGGGCGTGAAAACCTTGCATATGTCACAGTTCGGTTTGCATTATGCTTTTGTAGATCTCCATTGCCCTCTGCTGCAGTCCCACTTTCACAGTGGCATCTTTATTAAACTCGTACCTATTTAGTCATGTTACGGAGTTCTATGTTTGAGCCAATACCTGGCCTTGGAACTCCACGTCCCGCGCGTCCCTCGTCTCGTTCTGCTGCACCTGCCGAGTCTGGTTGGCGACTGCCTGCATGGCAGCCTCGTCGTGCCGCTCCTGCCTCGACATTCGGGGGGTGGCACGAGGCGCCGTGGGCCGCACCCGGGGCCTTTCAGGTGGCCTGACATCTGCCAGGAAACAAAGAATGCTTCTGTCATATCAGACAATCCTAGTTGTCTTCATGAGAGGTCTCACCCCGCGAGGTGGAGGGCACCGGCTCGGCTGCCTGCTGCCCGTGACCTGCCTGGGCGCCTGTGGGTCTCCCCTAGAAGGGAATTTGGAAGTCCTAGTCAGCACACAGGACTTGTCTGCATTTTCTAGATATTGAGAGTGGGTTTGTTGAGGCTGCATTCCACTCAGGGGAAACAAAATTACTCTGTTTCAGAGGTAGTGCCATTCATGTCTAGGATTGATTCCCCAAATATGTCTAGTGGCAGCTCAAAAGGTTGCACTTCCCCTGTTTTTGTGAAAATGTACCTCTGTGATACAGAAATTGAATCTTACGACAGCGTGCACACAATACAACTGAGGGTTGCAACAACCACCAAAGCAAGAAGAAAAAGGACTACACAAAAACTACAGATGTTTTGGCCTTAGAAACTCCAGTATTACTGCAATAAATATAGTGTTTTTTGTCGTAAGTGCTTTTGTTTTAGATTTTGCCTTTACGTGGATGATTTAATTCGCCCTCCGATTCGCTGAATTATAAAAAGTGCCAGCACCTTTAATGCATATATTCACATTCACAGGGGCGGATTTAGAGGGGGGGGGTCGGATGTCCTGACCCCCCTCTTGATTTCTGCATGTGTAAAATTTAGGGCATTAAACAAGGGAGAGGGGGAGGGGGTTCCTCAACATATGTTACGCTGACCAACACCTGACCCCCCCCCCCCCCCCTCAGGAAATTTCTGCATCCGCCCCTGCATTCATATTTATCACATTTCACTGCGGTATACATCTTAGCTCACTGATAATAAAACCCTGCACGGATATTCTCCATTGGGATTGAACAGCTACATGTGCAATAGTATGTTAGGTTCAAGCGTGCACTCACCTCGGCCTCGTCCTCAAAAGCGGGGACGGAAAACCCAGGAGCGCCCAGGGCCGAGTCCTCGCCCACCAGCGTCAAAATACGTGCGTATGATGACGCCAGTGAGCGCACCCGGCCGCCTCCTCCCCTAGTTTGCCTGCGAGTAAAGGAAGTAATTCAATAGCTTGGTCCACACTATGAGTAGACGACGCAAATTACCTCGCCTGTTTCGCCAGCTCGGCTGCCCGCGCCCGCGCCTTCGACACCCGCACGGCCCAGTAGCGCTTCCAAGCTTCCGGCTCCTTCCTCGGAGGCCCGAGGTAGTTGAGCCGGGAGGTTAGCTCGGTCCAGAGACGAACTTTGTCGTGTCTGGACAGGGCCGGGCTGAGCTCAGTTGCACCGCGTACCAGAGAGGGGTTCTCGAACATAAATGTATCGAGTTCCTCCCTCTGGGCCGCGGTCACACGTTGCCTGCTCCCGTCGTCCATGTTGTTTGAACCATAGTCACTGACAATTTAAGAAACGCAGGGTACTGCAAGACTGGAACCTTTTATTATCGCTCCGCAGCCAATGAGATAGCCGCATTAGCCGATGAGAACGCCGAGGAACCATTCACGACGCAAGAAGAGCGAGCATGACAGGCCACATCCTCCCGTTTCTTGAGCCGTCACCAGTGACAGTGATTTGAACTAGGCGCTCATTTGCATCCCGCATGTTGTTCTAACCTTTTATGCGAGTTTACTTCATCTAATATTTTTTGGAACCGCTACAAAATCAGTTGTTCATTTCAATAGAACACGTGTATTTTTTTAGTCTGACAAGTTTCTTTAAAAAAGAGCCGATGTGAAGGTCGCCGCCGCAAGGGATTGGCTGCCATCGCTTGACTAAAAGCAGAAAATGCCTTTCCGGTTGCCGGAGAAACGGACGCTTGCGTAGGGACAAGGCTCCAGATAGGTACCGCCGGGAAAGCGTAGGTACGGCAGGGGGACAGCGTAGCTACTTCCGCTCTTCGGCTGTTGGCTCTTGACGCCTCTCAAGTGAGTGACAGACGCCAATCTTGCCATGTCGTCACGGCGTCAAAGAGGGCGGTTTCGCGGTGTGCGCCGTTGCTTGGTTACGCGTCACCTGCCACTACGTCACTTCTGTTTCTAGTTTCTCGAAAGTCCAACATAGGTCCCCTGGTTAGCGGGAGAACTTTACAAAAATTGGTAACACAGGGGCATTTAACTCAATATGCATTATTTTGAAAATCATTAAAAAAAAGGCCACCTTACATATTCTTTAAACTCTGAAATTAGCGTTGATAATATTGACTAACAGAGTCTTCAAAACATCATGCAATATTTCTGTGGCTTTTAAGTTATCAAGCGAGAAATATGGCCAAATTGACGCTAACGCGGTTGCCATAAACGGGCCCGCACGTACCCATTCTTCACAACTTCATTATTAATGAAAAGCGTGAACATGCTGCGGAGTGGTCAGGGAAAGGCAAATTGACAGCACAGAGGTGGACGGTACTTTTTGAAGGGAAAATACTTGATACATTTTCGTACAACCGACCCAAATATGCCCATGGGTCGGAGCAATCGAGGTGTGCCAACTTGTAACATACTTCGCGGTGTCTTTTTCAACAGCCGGCGTCTAGCGCCTCTGTCCACGCGACGTAAAGGAAGCAACCGGAGCGATTTTGCAAACAGGTCAGCCTACAACTTTAGCGGTAACGTAATATAGGAGGTAGGGCGCCGCCGCGGCAGAACCTGAACCTGCGCCGCCTGTCAGCGCCAAAAGATCCGCCACCGTGGAGGGCCACACGACGCGTAGAAAATAAAGATTCTTAAATAGAAAGAGAAAAAGAATTCCAATTTAATGAGATTGCCTCTAACTAAATTTATATGAAAACGGTTTGGATAATCGTGAAATGCAATTTGGGTATGCTCATGTAACATATGTAAGTGATGGTGCAGCAAGCCACTTTAAGAATAAGTACACGCCAGCAAGGTGTATTCTTTCCGCAACTTGTCAGGGCAATAGTGCCTGTGATTCAATCGTGGGTCGTGTCAAGCACCAGGCAACGTTGTACAACCTCCGACGGCCCACCAAGTCTGTGATCAAGTCGGCATCAGAGATGGTTGCCCCACTGAGCACTTAACTGCCGAACGTGAAACTAATCCACTTCCCGAAAGCTGACGTTAAAGAGTTCAAGTAGATGAAAGCAAAGGACTAGGACTCTGTTTTCGTTGTGCGTGGTAATCAATCCCGTCACTTGTGGCAGTGTACGCCACTTCCGACACTTCGCAACCACAGCTGTTTTAGCAAGAACAGTAGACGCAGAAAAGATACATTTTTAAAGTAAAGTCTCCTATGTCTGCGAAAAGCAGATCGAGGTCGCGTGCGTGCGGTGCCACTGAGAAGAAAAGGACAGTGATCGCTAAAGGCAAAACGGAAAAAAATGGAAGCCGTTTACAACTCCCTGTAACGACGAATTAGAGCGCAGCTCTTGGGGAGGAGGAGGAGGGAAGGACACTGAGGGTCACCTGTTCTCGGGGGGGGGGGGGGGGGGGTCACGTTTACATTAGGAGGGGGATGTCACGTGACCTCAAGAAAGGGGGGGGGGGGGTCAAGTAACCCCCCAGGAAAAATTTGTCGCTAGATTTAGCGGGGAAATTTTTCCGCTAAATTTAGCGGGGAAATTTTTCCGCTAAATTTAGCGGGGAATTTTTCCGCTAGATTTAGCGGGGAAATATCTCCGCTAGATTTAGCAGGGAAAATTTTCCGGCAGATTTAGAGGGGAATTTTCGCCGCTAGATTTAGCGGGGAAATTTTTTCCGCTAGATTTATCGGGGAAGCTTTTCCGTTAGATTTAGCGGGGAATTTTTCCGTTATATTTAGCGGGGAAATTTTTCTGCTAGATTTAGCGGGAAATTTTTTCCCCTAGATTTAGCGGGGAAATGTTTCTGCTAATTTTGCGGGGAGATTTTTCCGCTATATTTAGCGGGGAAAGTTTTCAGCTAGATATAGCGGGGAAGATTTTCCGTTAGATTTAGCGGGAAAATTTTTCCGCTAGATTGAGCGGAGAAATTTACACATAATGCACCGCGCCGTTGCGCCGGCGGTGACAGCAACGCCGCTCAAGCCGGGAACGGGCGCCTAAGAGCTGCGCTCTAAAATGTTCCTCCTCGGAGTGCCAGGAGAGCGCCGTGACCGACTCAGGTCAACGTCCGGCAGAAAGAATCACCGCGACAATTTCCGAATGTGCTCACAGGATCTTCATTAATTAAACTAGTTTCAATCGTACCACTTTAAACATGTGTTCTTTCTCATCACTCTGCGAACCTCGTTGTCAGCAGCCCAGCCTCCCCACGAAGGGTAGGCTCCGGAATTCACTAATCTGAGAAATCTGTATTTAAATTGTTGACGTGTGCTGCAAACTCACCTGTAATCTTTTGTATGAATTCTTATTTTTCACGAACTCCTGTCTTTCTCTTCACAGACTTCCTACCTTTTTTCGACGTCTTGCTTGCCTTTTTGTTTTTTAAATCGGCAACATCCTATCTTTTTCTATTCCGTTAAGGCAATTATGTATATTTAGCGCCTTGTAAAAAAAAAAGAAAAAAAATATCGCGAAGCATTTTTGAAGGGACTGATAGGGCAAATTATGAGCCTTGATTTGTGAAAAGTAGAAGAAAAATTAAGATGGTCTTGATTTTAAAAATACATATTTTCAAATTAATGCAAAATCGGAAACCTGTCTAGATTTCATTGTATTTTTTTTTTAGAAAGCTTATCGCTTTCAATCTCAATGAGAATTTATGCGAATATAGAACAGACGCGTCCCAATCATGTTAAAAAATTTCAATTTTCAGTCTTTTAAGATCCGGATCCATAAAGCTGTGAACTGCTTTCTAATCGATAGTACAGGTCTACGTCCTTTTATTTTGTGTACAGTCTCTGCTCAAAAATATTAAACCTAAGACGACAACAGTTTTCTTTTATAAATATCTGAAATGGCGGTTTCACGCAAGTCGCAAAAGCGTACGGGTATACCGACAGCGACTTTGTGATTTTTGTTCTTCAAGAAAAATTTTATTTTACGCAAAAAAAGTTTGAACATGTTTTTGCGGTTGCACAACAAGTAAATATATATTTCGGTAAAAATAAAAACAAAATGTCGACCTGACATGGTCGTCCGATCCTATCTGAATATGTCCTATAAAAACACTCTCAGTCGATGGGAATTTTTTTAAGCGTCTTCATTTTCTACACGTTGTGCGGCCCTCCACGGCGGCGGATCTATTGGCGCTCACAGGCGGCGCAGGTTCAGGTTCTTCCGCACCGTACTGCCTATATCATGTTAACGCCAAGGTTGTAGGCTGATCTGTCTGCAAAGTCGCTCCAGTTGCTTTCTTTACGTCGCGTAGACGGAGACGCTACACGCCGGCTTTTGGAACAGGCACCACGAAGCATGTCAGAGGGTGGCGCACCTCGATCACTCCGGCCCATGGGCATTTTTGGGTCGGTTGTACGAAAAAGTATTAACAATTTTCCCTTCAAAACTACAGTCCACCCTTGCGCTGTCAATTTGTCTTTTCCTGACCACCCCGTAGCATTTTTACGCTCTTTGAATAATAATGAAGTTGTGAAGAACGGGTATGTGCACGCCCCATTTATGGCAACCGCGTGAGACTCAATTTGGCCATATTCCTCGCTTTATAACTTAAAAGCCACACAAATATTGTATTATGTTTTTGCAGACTCTGTTAGTACGTGTTATAAACCTCAATTGCAGAGAGTTTAAAGAATATTAAAGATGGCCATTTCTTTTAAATGATGTTCAAATAATGCATATTTAGTGAAATGCCCATGTGTGACCAATTCTTGTAAATTTTTCCTGCTAACCAGGACAACAATATTTTATGCAAAGATGAACTATATAGAGCGCAACACACTGGCAAAGTTTGAAAACTTTAGCTTATATAGAAACGGAGAAAAAAATCTTTAATCCAGAACGTTATTGCGCAATGTGCCGTGTCTGTGATTTTGTTTCTCGAAATAACGACCCTAATCCTCGGTGATTAATACTTTTTGTGAATCTTTTCTGTACCCAATCTGTCAGGGAATATTTATAGACCCGTAGCCAGAACAT